GTTCGAGGTTCGACTCTCAATCCCTCTCCTTTCCTCGTTCCCCTTCCAAAGGTTTGAAATCTTGCTTCGAGCTAAAAAAAATTATGCGTAACTTACTATGTAGATACACACATTTACATTTAATGCACCTCATGTATTTGGACATTTTTCCAAATTAATTTCACTACTGTCAAAAAATTAACACCTGAGACCCGAGTAGACTCTCTTGTAGTCCTGAGACACCTGTTAACCAAACCCTTGTTTATTAAGCAATACGGTTTTACATGCGGAATATTAGTGTATTAGATGATAACTTTGAATGGTTGTATTGCTTTTAGAAGCCTAATCATGGTACAAATGGTATAAGTTCTTAAAGATCACGTTCTAACATATTTCAGCGATGTACGTGCACTCTAAAGTGATCTAGGAAGATGGAGCTGCATGGCCAAAAGGAAAAGCTAGATGAGTAGTCTATTTTTTTTTTTTTTTTTTTTTTTTGAGGTTTCAAGCAAAACCCGTTGTATAAGGTTTCTGAGTATTGCAATAATCAATTGAAGTTTGAAAAATTAGAGAAACCTCCCCAGACAATAAGCTTTGGTAATAGTTGATGATGTAAGCACAAAAAAATCAACGAATATCCTATATTGCCTCTATCTAATTTTTAAAATTTCACAGTAGTTATTTGCTAGAAAATTTGATCCATGTTTTAAAGACGCCGTCCAAACCAAACCGGAAAATCGAAAAGCTGGGAAATCCAGCGTACTAGGTACCTGACCCACATGGATATCCTATGGCCTAGGACGGGGGTATCCTATGGCCTAGGACGGTTACGATTCGATATTTTGTTGAATTGTTAGAACTAGGTTGGGTCACAATAATATCATTCCATGGGTCTTGGTAACCGACCCATGAACACCTCTTCTATTAGCTGATCAACTCTTTGTAAAATTGAGCAAAAACTCGATTCAGAGGAATTGAAAATTGAATATAATGTACTAGATCATATTACACTATAACTTTTTGATAAAAAGGTATTAACGAGAAAATGTTTCCTTTTTTATCTTTAAATTCAATTTTTTTATTTAGAATTTGTAAATTTTGTGAAAGCTATTATAGTATTTTCATATAACACCAAAGAAGATAAGTGTAATTTTTTTCAAACTTTAAGGAAGGCGAACGCAATTATTAAAAACTTCAAATTTATCATAAATAACGTAATTATCCCTATTATCATTTTGAATCGGTAAAGAGAATTGTAACAAATTGTAATTTATCATAAATAACTCATAAACTTGAGACAATTTTTAGTATTGCTCGTAATCAAATAAATGTCAATATATCAATGAGTGTGTCTGGACAAGAGATTATTTATTCAAATATATTTATTTACATCATCATTACAATTTTTAATATATTTTTTTATCTCACATATATTACAATACAAAAAGTGTTATCTCAAATAATTTACTATTCAAACACACTCAAATGGACAATTAATCTGGACGTACATTCTGAAGTCTTGAATTTTTAACCATACCACGACCTTCCATCATTTGAGACGGCCGTCAACTGTTGCAGCCTTGACTTACACGACGAGTTATCACCAGTCACCACCATACAAAATCCGTGGATATGAGGTGCTGATATGCACATTGTCCTGGCCATAATAGCCCTAGGTGAGAGGTGCGACTCAAGTGGCAAAATTGTAGGCCCATATTTGATTTTATCAAAAGCTAGAGTATCCTCAATTCCCTCGAATAGGGATTTTGTGGGATGGCCATGAATTGGCCAAAAAAAAAAAAAAATTTAAGATTTAGATCACAACTTGTGCATTGATTTTAATATCGTGTGTGTGTGTAAGATTCACAAAATTTTGTTCTATAATTACTAATAGTTAAAAATGAATTAAATCATGAACAAATAAAATTACATCTTGTAAAATTGAAACAAAACTTGTCCAAACAATTTGTCTGGCAACCATTTGGACCCTTGGTCCTTAACTTCTTCAGGTGCTGAGGAGCAGAGTGAACTGTTCCTTCGCCCATTACTGAAGAATATGGTGTGCTCGACAGAACAAGCTGCATACGCCTATTTTTGAAGGGTGCTTTTACTCAAAACCCTCTACAAAAAGAAAAGGAAAAAAATAGTGATCAAAGTTAATTTGAAATTACAATTTTTTTTTAATAAAGAAGTGATCACACCTAACTTGAGACATCGAAGGTAAATTTAAAGACTCTGACTCTCATCCAGCTGCAGTCGAGCTATCGAGGGAACATAACGGCTGATCAATCTTTGTTATGGGAACATAACTGCTAATACTACGTACAACTTTAGACCGATCGATATCTCAATCCCAAGTGCAAATTGGTTGTGGCAATGGATAATGGTCCAAAAGGGGAGCATCACTCAGAGAAGTCCATATCGGTTAGAAGAAGATACTCTCAATAGCCAATGCACCTCAAGTTGGAGCTCCCATTGGCATGATCTGCAAATCGACCCTCAATTTGGATAGTTGTGTGCAGCTCAAGGCAGGACCATGTAATAATTAACTTCAAACTATAGAGAATGAAGACAAGTTAAAGCAAAGATTTTCTCTTGACAGTGGTCGAATGAAAAAGGTTCCCGTGTTTGTTTATGCTCCTGCCGTTGAGTTAATCAAGTTTAACAAATTGATCAGCGAGAAATATATATATATATATATATATATATATGATGTTGCTGCCTATTTTTTCTTCACAAAATATTTGAGGAAAAGAAACATATATAATCTGTAATTTGATGTTCTTTTATGATAGAGCCAGCGTTGCTAATGGTTCAAAAGAATGCTCAATAGATAGAGGAGTTGAGAAACAATTACCAGTGCCCGAATTGAAGTACAAAGATCCAAATGAAGTGTACATTATAAATGTATCGTTGTATATTTGTGTGTGTAAAGTCTACATCCCATACACTGCTGCATGCATCGCTGTGAAAGTAGCAAGAAAATTTGGTCCCGCTACTCCTATTTGGAGTTGAATTTTGAAAACCGGGTCGTCGATTGGAAGATTATTCTTCTGTTCTGTACCTTCGCTTTCAATGGAACAACCTGGACTGATAATCGACATTTTCTGCTTTATGGGCTCTTATTATTATTGTTATTTTTTTAATTTAAAGGGCTCTATACAAATGCAAGCTTGCAAGAATAATTGATGTGCTTCTTGAAAGAAGACTCAAAAGAAGTCATAAATAGAGAGTGACGAGATTCCTGCAGAAATTGGGCTTTTGTTTCAATTGTGTACAAAACATCCTCGTAGCTTATCTCAAAAGGCTATGTGAAGTTTTATATGATTAGAGTACCTAGTGATTAATTTCACAGTATTACATAGAATGAGTCCCTGACACAAAAGAGAATTCTCTTTTGTGATGAAAAACCAGATCAAGTTAATGCTGCTATTGCCATAACGTCAAGTACTCAGGTGTATAGTTCAATTGCATAGACTATGCTAATTGCTTGCTGGAGCCAAATGTCGTGACACATCAAAGGGGTTAAGTATACTCGTCCTGTTAAGTAAATATAGCTCCATGGACGTTGCATAATTGGTAAAACCTCCAGAGTCATGATCAGATGCAGTTAATACATATGGTTTAGCCCTCAAACTTTAAAAAAAAAAATAAAAAATCACTGCCAACTTCGTTTTCCAGTTTGGGGCAAGGGAAGGAAGTAATTGTTATTAACGCATGTGTTTGGATTTTTCATTCGAAGCCTTCAAGATTATAGACTCTTTTTCGTGCTTGATAAGCTTAAATCTTGGTATTCTAATTTAACACAATTTCAAGCTATTAATGTTATAAATACAATCTAGTGGAAGGCATTATCGAAAACAAATTTGGGAATTTTAGCTAAACACTTGCTTGGAAATATAGATAAATTAAAGTGCAGTTTGTCAACATTGTGGTGGACAATTTAGTCAAATATCAACATTAAGTCACTAACACAATAAATGAGTCACCATACAAAATAGAAATGTATAAAAACACAACAAATTTTGCTACTTGCCAAAAGTGGTGTCAACGGAAGGTTAAACACTCGGTAGGAAATAGATAAATTAAGGGATACTTTTAAAAACCTCTCTTAAGGTTTCTGACAATTTCACTTGATTCTTCTCGAGTTTAAATAATTACACTTATGTTTCATGGTATAGTAAAGTACCTAGAAAACGTTCCAATTTCTCTATCTCATGTCTATTTCTACTCCTCTATTTCCTAGTTATTATACTCTTATTTGTTATCTTTGATTTTATGGATATTAGTAAATTGAAATTGCAAAATCAACAGAGGGAACAGATCATGTGTTAAGTACATATGCTATAAATTTCCCAAAAGAGAAACATTAGGAGATTCTAGATTATCCATTCCTTTGTACCTCTATACTCTACTCATTTCAGGCGAGATAAAGAAGCAATACAAATGTAGATCATTTTCAACATAAGTTGACTCAATTAATATATAAGAATGAAACATATTTTTACAAAAATGAAATATTATTGAAACTTATATGTGACCCTTGGATGGATAGGCAATTTCCTACAAGTGACCTTTACTTCTGAAACATATGTCCTAACCGGTGATGTTCGGATCCGAAGCACCTACCTTTTTCCTACCCAAAAAATGTGGATCATGATCGTGCAAATTGGTGAAAAGACTTTTAGGTTTGTTGATTATGGTGAGAAAGTGTACGAAGAGGTAATAATGGCCATCCATGATAGTGATGCAGCGCGGTCTATCTGTACGGACATCTCATCGTCCACATAATATGAAAGAAAAGAAAAAGAAAAAGAAAAGCCACACCCACCACAGGCTAGGCACAGCTCCCCGGTCGTCATTATTTCTGTATAAACAAAAAAAGAAAAAGAAAAAGATAATTGTATTCTAGTTGTAACAGGAATATTTCTTCATTAAACTAAAACTCACGTTCATCCTTCAGAACCAAACTTAGGATATCCACAGAAAAAGAAAACAAAAGAAGACACACATTCTCCAGTCTCTCTGTCTCTCTCTCTCACACACACACAAATAGTCTACATTTAGGCCGCTCAGATTTTTTTCCTCTCCTCTTAGGTTTAGGCAAATGTGGAAAACTGAGGATAAAAGAAGGATTGGTTTTGCTATAAAAGGGAAAGTGGACTTTCCTTTCTTGACATGGGGCTTCTGTTCCCAATTCTTCCCTCCCTCTCTCTAATTGGTGGCTTCTTTTGATATTTTCGTTTCCATATAGGATATATTTTTTTCTTGTTTGGAAGCTGGTGTTGTGTGTGAGGAGTTGAGCTCAACAGTGGTGTTAAGCTAAGAGTACAACTGTTTCTTACTCAGCGCACGAAACAAAGAACATCTCCTGCAGCTCCTCACCCTCTCACTCCAGTACCCAATAAGGTAAACAGTACCGATCCCCCCATCCCCCTCAATATCCTTGCACACCCCATCTCCCACTCCCCAGCTTGCATGTTAATGAACATCAATTGGTGGGCTTTTCTGGGTTTTTTCGCTCAGATCTGTACTTGTATTCTTTTCTTTAGGGTTGCTTTTTGCTCACTTAATCCTCCTCCTGATTTCTTTGGAAAAAAATTGCACCTGCCGGCGACCACACCGAGCACTTTTTGCGCCTCTTTCTTGTGCCCGTTTCTATTTAATACTCTCTTTTCCCATTGCTGCATAAAATTATTTGCCAAACCCATCTGCTCGTGGTACCACACTACTATTGCAACATCTTTGATGTTCTTTTCCCTCTGGGTGTAATTATCAAGGCGATCGAAAAGAAAAAATGGCGAGAGAGAAGATCAAAATCAAGAAAATCGATAACATCACGGCGAGGCAGGTGACCTTCTCCAAGAGGAGACGAGGGCTTTTCAAGAAAGCTGAAGAGCTTGCTGTTTTGTGCGATGCTGATGTTGCCCTCATAATCTTCTCAGCCACTGGCAAGCTCTTCGAGTTCGCTAGCTCAAGGTAAATCTAACCCTACCCTATATATAATCATATGGTATACTAATAACTTTTTAATGCAAAGATGAGAGCTGGGGTGGCTTCATTATCATGTTCATATATATATATATACATACATATATATATATATATACACACACACAAACAGAGAGTCAGTATTAGATGTGTCTCATTCTCCATCTCTCTACCCTCTTTCCTTCCGTCTCTCTTTCTAGATATAGGCAGGGTCTGAGAAGATGATGTCAGCAACATTTTGTTGGGAAGATCGGCTCTTCTTAATTCAGGTGACTAGACGAAAGGGAATCAAGACTGTGACCACTGACATGAGAAGTGTTTAGCTCAGCTCCAAATATATTTTGACCCAAAACCAAACAACAGAATAGTAATTTACAACAAAGGTTCTGGTCTCCTTCGTTACCCCTTACCCGTACTCCTTTTATCTTAAGTCTTAAATATTTACCGATAGTAGTAACATTTAAGAATTGCTAAAATTAGAAACCCTAGTAAAGATTCTTTTCAATCTTCAAAGTTTTCTTTACTTTACTTGAACCCCACAACTTCTTTTTTTTGGCTTCTTTTTACTCAGTTTCTTATCGACCCAGCTCTCGGTTTTCCGTTCAGTAAGTTATACTCCTCCTAACTTACTTGATCACAGTAAATAGGTCTCACTTGTTCAATGGATTTCACATTTTCTTTCCAAGAATGTCTCTCCGATTTTAAAGGGTACTAGACTATTTCATCACACTAGTAAATCGCTCTCACTTGGGTTTCGCAGTTTCTTTCCAAAATTTTCACCAGCTCCCACGTTGAGAAGTAGCTTAATTATTATTTGATCATAGCAGGAAACTCTTCTCCATCTTATATATCAATCTGAAACGGTACAATTCCATGGACCATTCTTTTTGATTGACTTGCTAGAAAGGAGCATTTGAGCTGCACAATTCCATTAGTCTCTTCACGAAATGGAGGCCGAATCTCAAAATGTTCAGTTTAATTTTCTCCAGGATGTTTACTTGCATCAGAAATTAAGCGGAGTAGATTTCATGTTTTCAAATTCTTGATTTTTAATTTCACTCATAGCATTAGCATTTGAGAGATGCTAAAGGGAAGAATATGGAGTAGTGAAACTTCTTTTTCATGCAATTAGAAGCTGCTAAGTTACGATCATAGAATAATGATTAATTTGAAAGTCTATCTTAACTGAGTTAACTGGTTCCTAATTAATGGTTCTAAAATAAAGAAACGAACCAGTCATTTAAGATCACCAACTGATTTAATTGGTTCGTAATTAATGGTCATAAAATAAAGAAACGAAGCAGTCATTTGAGATCACCGGTCAAATCAATCTTATCATTTTCTTCACCTATTAACCTGCCAAAACTTTATATTAATTGGACGATACCAAATAAATCTAAAAACCGATTATACACTTTTGTAAGTGTAAGCTATATACACTGCGCGATCTTTAGTTGCACGGTGTATATTATTCGTTGGGACAATAAAACAGTAAAAAATGAAAACCTTTTTGCAAAAGAAAAACTTCATATTAAGATACTTAAAATTCTGCCTGGTTATATACATGCCAACGGTTGTCTTACTTCTTTTGAAACATCTAATATACTGTGGCATGATCTTGTGTTTAGCTCACTCCGAAGGATGTCAGAACAAATCATTGTAGCTAGATTTCAGCAATGAAAGTGTTTTCCTGTCATGTTTCAGTGGCTGCATGTGAACTGTCTTTCTAACGGTGTAGCTATTAGAAATTAATGTTTGCTCACAAAATCAACTTTCATCCTCGTGTGCAGCCACTGATTAACTTAGCGTCATTTTGGTTCAACTTCCTATATAGTACCTTGTCTTGCAGCTTATTCAAAAGTTGCTTGAATTAAAAAAATTGCTTGCCATATCGCTAAAATATGTCTCAGTTGGTAGTTTCGTTGGATCATTGCATAAAATGGCTCCACGCTAACAGACGACCACAAGAAAATACTAAAAATGGTCACTTGGACCAAATTCTGTCTAGTTTCTAGGAGCCTGTATCCAGTCCACTTTGGATTCTTTCTTACATGAGTTCCCTTTTTTGTGGTTTGTCTACTATCTAAATTCAAACGCATATTTTGCACATACCTGGATAAGGCATGCATATGTCTGTTTTGTGGGGTCTAACCAGTAGATTCGTGATAAAGAGGTAAGAGAAATTCCATTGTATTTCCCTAGTCTCTGATATGATATCAAAACTTCACTCAGGTGTGCCTCTTGTCAGTTTTTGTACTTGCTTCGGGTCATATGTGTAAGTTCTGGATACAGGAAGGAATTTCTGTAAGATTAATAGTATTCGTAAAAAGATTTCTAGTCTAGGTCTGATAATGGGCGAGTCATGGCTTCTAGGTTTGAGTATTACTTGACCGCATTTTTGTGTACTCTTCTGGCCTTTCCTTAAAAGAATTTCACATATGCTTGTGCACAAGGCTGGAAATCACCATTTGAATTTCTCTTCTCTCCTTTATGCTTTAATCAGTGGTAGGATTTATTTTTGGTTGGGCTGATAACTCAATGGTTGACTGCATAGTCCATGATATGACAGGTTTGCAATTAGACTTGAGATGGCAAAAAAATAAAAGACTCAAACAAGCATTTTTACTAGCCAAAGATAAAAAGATTAAATTCACTTTGAAGAAATATAACTCAAGGTCACCTACTTTTAATTACTAATGTAATTATATTGTAACCTATCAATGACAAGGTGAATTTTCTGTACTTGTAATTTTGTTTTTCTTTAAACAGATCTTTACATGTATTTCATTTTATATCATACTTCTGATAATGTTTATCTCTCGGTGTAATGAACATGTTTTGTGTTTCTTTCTGACAAAAAACTGAAAAAAAGAAAGAAAAAATTACAGTTGGAAATGATTGCATGTTGTAGAATGGATGAAAGAGATCTACAGTCAACTAAATGTTAGGAAGAGGAATGTGCCTATGGAACACTTGCATGGTTGATGTCATAAACTACCGGTTCAAGTAATGATAACATAACTTTCCTTCTATTTGCACTGATTTTTTTTTAACCATAAATTTCTAATCATAAATGCCTCAGCACATGTTGCATCCCCGAGGCTTGCATTTTTTGGGATCCTTGAGCTTCTTGCTTAAATACTTACTCTATATTAGTCCTCCAGATCTTGAATGGACCTGTGAATTTGGGTGGAATGGTTTAGGTTGTAGCTTGTATTTGCTTAATACATATCTTATATATTAGACATGTCCCAGATGGTTTGAAGCTTCGACTTTCTTTGAAAAGGCGTTGGATCAATGGTGAACAGCTAACTACGCTATTCGAACGTAAATGTTTTGAGTTTGAATATCACTTTCCAATCTCATAGAATCTCCTTCTACTCAAAATTGAGAAATATTGTAAAGGTGTCTCACACGTTCTCGTGAGGCAAATCGAGTCTTTGATTTACTTTAATGCTAACTGGCAACCTTTGCAAATAACTGATAGTTGTGCTGACTTTCTATTCATTTGTCATGCTTGTTATATGATAACTATGGCTTTGTGATATGTAGGGCACTGTATTTTTGTCCTGTCATCATGAATTATAAACTAACAGGTCAACTAAGTAACTGTTTGATAAAATTGAAATCTGAATTGTGAAAATTAAATATTGACCCCTTTTGACAAGTGAGTTTTTTGAATATTTGTCTAAAACTTTACTATAATTTACTGTAAAAGTTTTTTAAAAAATTTTGAAAGTGTGTAAATTTTTGAATATTTTAAAGTGTATAGTTTAAAATTTTTGAAATTTTTTTTTGAAATTACTGTAGTTAAACTTGGGAAAAAGTTGCCTGCCAAACAAGGCCATTAAAAGTATTGAGTTGCTAAATTATTTAAGTTGTATCGTTTGATAATTAACTAAATTATAAAACTGAATTCAAATATCACAAATATTTTGTTGACAATTTTTAAAAAAATTGCCCTTATTTGTATATTTGGAAAAAAAGAAAAATGTGCGTATGTGTGTGAGAGAAAAAATAATGAAGTAATTTAGAGGTGGTATTTAAGTATGTGCATTTGCATGTAAGAGGGTGTGTCTGCATGCTTGTGTATCTGTGTGTGTTGAATATAAAGGAAATAAATGTGTACCAAGTGCTAGAATACTATGAGTGTGTTATGTGTGTGAGTGGCATAGTATGTGTAGTCAATTCAGAAGATTTAGTGAAATTTTGTTACTTAAAATTTTATACCCAAATTAAGGTGTGCTTAATAAATTAAGTGGTAAGGTATTTCTGTTATCAAACATGCTGAATTCAAAACTCTGAATGAATTAATTTTCAACATTAAGTGGAATTATCAAACAGACTAATAGAACTTAAAACTGAACAGATTATTGCATTTTTATATTCTAGGGAATCTATTTTAAATATTGTATAGTAAAAACTATAAAATTAGGATTTAGAAATTAGAGGTCCTAGGTTCAAATCCTATCGAATTGTCAATCTCTCCTGATTTTAAGTTAGTATATGTCCTACTAAATGTGAGGATTAGTTGTAATATCATGTATTGGCTCCAAAGTCGTGAGTTACATGTAATTTTATTAAAAACAAATGCTCTTTTCCTTTTCATCAATCAAATATAACTTGAGATAATAAGCATAGCAATTTGTTAATCACAGTTGTAATCTATAGCAGAAACTTGAGGTGTTTTCAAAAATAGAGGTAATGTTATCTTCAATCAAATTCTTTTGTAAATATCTAATGCCTATATTACTTTTGGTGTAATAAGTTGTGTACTAAAATAGGATTTTGGAAAATGAATTATAATATGTTAACTCAAAGTAAATTTACTTCACTTTCCTTCATATGTAAAAGTAAAGGAACTCTTATTAAAATAAAAATGTCAAATGCTCTCCATAACAAAAATTGTCTTTTAGCTGTTTGTATTTTCTACTTTTACTTGGGCTTTAAAATTTGTGGTGGATGAGTTTAGTATGGGAACATGGTATCATCTGACCATGAGTGGCTCTTTTCACGATCCTTACCTTTTAAATGCTTTACAGAGAAGGATTTTTATTTTTATTTCTCTTTTTTTGTGGTAATGTTTCTTCAAAGTAGCGTCGGTTGAAGTTCTCTGACATATTGTGATGAGAGAACATCACAAGTAACTCAAGTCTCCTGCATTTTTGTGCAGCATGAGTGATATCCTTGGAAAGTACAAGTTACATTCAAGTAACCTCGAGAAGATTGAGCAACCATCGCTTGAGCTTCAGGTATTACAACATGGCGTTGCATCTGTGTTATCTTTCTTCTAGAGATCCAGTCAACATCACGGGCTTTATCTTGTTAACGCTTTTCATGGTTTCCTCTATACTCTTGGCTGTACTGATCTCATTACCAACATTGCCCAACTGATGATTGGCAAAACTGTTGTTTCATCCTTGAATACATTGGGAATATGTCTCATTTGTTCTGACCTTGCATTTCATCTAAAGATTTCGAGAAGGATATTACCAAGTGCATTGGAAATTTTGAATAATAAGTGGTCCTGTTTTCGGTATGTAGAGGAATATTTTACGATTTCTCTTTGGTTGTAAAGTGACTAGGTGAACTTTGTTTCGTCTAGGGTGCTCGCGAAATGACAAGATGAAATTTGACTAAATATTTTTGAGTCGAAAATATCGACTCTCTTTAATACCTACTTTTAAGATTCTTTTTAACAAGCTTGTTGATTTTGATATGCTGTGAATGGGTGCTGCTTTCTTCAATCGATGCATTATTCGGTTTTACTTTGCCACACGATTACATTAAACAAAGTCTAATCTGATTTGGATGTTTCATTGCACTACGAGATTAGCTTATGCTCAATTGGGACAAATGAAAATGTACTAAACTTAAATTGTTGTAAAGCAAGATGAACCATTGGGGCTGTCGGTGAAATGTTGAAGATGACTGATGTGTATTGTCCCTAATGAAGTTTCTTCCTTTAGCCTCCTTCCCTTCTCTACGCTAGGATTTGTTAGTACTCAGCCTTATGCATGCATCTGCTGATTAGGGTCAAGCAAATTTATCATCATTCCATACTCCTCTTCTTTCTCTCCCTCCGTCTGTTTTTCTCATGGCTAGCTTTCTCCTCATATATGTCTGTTAAATGTATTTTGCTACTTTACGCCAAAACCAAAGTAAGCCATTCATCTTTTTCTAGTTGTTCCAAGAAGTGCAAGTGCAAGTTTCATCGAGTATTTCCCATTAATTGCTGTGTATGCATAGTGATCCTAATTTTTCTTGCTCATTTTAGCTAGAGAATAGTTGCCATGTTAGATTGAGCAAGGAAGTTGCTGACAGGACTCATCAGCTAAGGTACAAAATAGAAACAGAAAATAAATACTGTTTTCCATAATGGATTTTTAGTTTTATTTGAATCTTAGCAAGATGAAATCATTTGATCCTGTGGATCAGGCAAATGAAGGGTGAGGACCTTCAAGGGTTAAAGATAGAGGAGCTGCAGCAGTTAGAAAAAGTGCTGGAAGCAGGACTAACCCGTGTGCTTCAAACGAAGGTTCCCAGTTCACTTTCACTAGCTTTCATCTAAAATTTAGGAGGGTCGCAAATTTACTAACCTAACTTCTTCATGTTATCTTAATTCTAGGGTGAACGCATCATGAATGAGATCAATGCCCTTCAAAAGAAGGTTAGAGTTGCAGACACAAACTTTTTCCTATTAATGCATTTCAGTAATTCTTTCTTTTGACAACTCTGGTCAGTAGTAATAGGCCTCTATAGTCAACATTTATAAGCATCAGTTCCTATACTAAGCTTATAAGTCGCCTTTTATCTTCTGGCAGGGTGCAGAACTGTTTGAAGAAAATAAGCAACTGAAGCAAAAAGTACGATCTTCTACTTAAGTATAAATAAGTTTTCGCTGACAGGTTATATTAACATTGTAGCTGAAACTTTTGGCCACACAGATGGCAATGCTTTATGAAGGGAAGAGGCCAGTGATTCCAGACTTGGATAAAGATATGCTGATAGAAGAAGGCCAATCTTCAGAGTCCATTACCAATGTTTGCAGCTGCAACAGTGGCCCTCCTCCGGAGGATGACTGCTCAGATACATCACTCAAACTAGGGTAAGTGTCTTTGTACTGCCGGTGCTTCCATGCTTGTCAGTGGACTAATCTCTAACTTCCTCCATAAACACATCTACTGTTTTATAAACAATTGCAAGTTTAGCCCTGGTTATTGAGAATTGAACAATTCGCCAATCTGCCTCTTAAATGCGCTGGTGAGGTTAATTCTCTGTGCTTGAGACAATTCTAAAGTTGGATAGCTTTGTACAGTGAGGATTAACTTCATCTTTGCTAGTGATGAATGTTTCTAGAGGAATGTTTAGCTAAAGTACTTCTTGAGACGTGCAATTTAACTGCAAATTTTCTAGCACTAGAATAAATGAAAGTAATAGTTGAATAAGTCTAGAAATTCGAAGTAGTTTCAAATTTATTGTCTTTTTGACTAGCTCAAGTATGTTGAGGTTTGTTAGGAAAAGATTCATGTAGAATTGTTTCTTGCACTCTTTCTCTCTGTCAAAAGAGAGCTGTTTAATGAGAAATCTGAGGTGTTTTTCAGCCTTCAATACCAAGTCTTGATATCCATTTTTATGCTCTATTTTCCAACAGTACTCTACAGACCAATACCTTCTGAGGTTCTTCGTGAGATCTTTCTCTGACTATAGTATATTCACCTATATACATTGGCATTATCCTGAGTACTTTCTCCACGTTCTTGTTACCGTTCTCTATTACTTGTAATACACTCTTTTTTTTCCCTTTCAGGCTACCCTTTAACTAGCCGACGGTGGACAGCTTATGGGGACCTACCTTTAAAAATTACTAGTAACATGGGATCAAGAAATGGAGCTCTCTCCATCTATATGTCTATATGTTATCCAAGATAGTGGTAAAAGTCTATGGTAGTATTACTCCTGTCATAAAATTAAGAGTCTGCTGTGTATGGCTGGCTCGATTGCCTCCAAAGTCCTAAGGTGCAGTAAAAAAGCTCGTGTTGCTTGCACCTGCTTCAACCAGAACTCAAGATTTGTACTCTCTTGTATGAACTTGCTTCCGGGCTTCAGCTGAAAAGTTAATCCTAATAATATGAAATACTACTGGTTGAACTATTTATCTAGAGATGGCATGAAACAACTACTATAGTGAAAGGTATATTTCCTAGCTTGCCCGGATTCCACCGAACAAGTAATTACGCTAGTCTTTTAAAGACTTTGTTTGTCGATTACCAAGTACAAGCGAGGATGAAGAAATGAAACTCGAAATTATATGAGATGGTTTTGGGCACGAATATCTAGAAATAAGGATTTCTATTCGGTTCAAATTGATTGATATATTCTTTTCTACTTTTAGTATAATTTCAAAACTTTTAATTCATATAACAAAATTGGTGTAAAATTTACGATTATACAAAAACTCTACGAGTTTGTAGCAAAGGTAACAAGAATTATACGAATCAATGTAGGTTGGATATGACTTTAACTTGTAAGACACTTGGATCCTAAATATCCACCTCATTGGATATGACCAGAAGACGAATGAAATTCAAAGCGCTCAAAATGGTCAAAATTCCATAAGCCAAGAGAACTATAAATGCAAAAAATTATCTATTAATATACTTGTTCCATAAAGTATGAATTATGTGTTTTTGGACTGCCAATCATTGTTAGTATAATATAGAACGGGTATAATATAAACTATAATAGTACATATTTATATTATACAGATTTTTCTTCAAATGTATGATTAGAAGTTTGGCACAAAAACACGAGTTCAGCAAAAACTCAGACATGAATAGTACGAATATATTTGAAATTTATGAAGCTAAAATAATTTGTTTGGATAGAGCATTATTCCAAATAATTATTTGCAATAATTACTGCAACACTTTTTGTGATGTGATGTATGTGAGATAAAAATGTGGTTGAGAATATAAAAAAGTAAATTGAAAAATGTGTTTGTAATACAAGCGAAATTTTTTTTTGGAAAAATTTGCTATATAAACATATAATTTTTAAATATTATGGTACATATACCACTTTTTAACTCTTACTCTTGTATATTAGCCACTGAATTTATTAAGATTTTACCACCCCATCATGTGTGCGTGTATAAATATATAGAAAATAATGACGTACATAGATGTCATTCTACATATAACATAACTGAGTAATAATGATATACACAAATTTAAAACTTTTCCAAATATTTGAAGTATAATATGCCAAAAGTTTATTACGTGTTTTGTGAGGTTATATGAAAAGTATAACTATTTCTAAGCCATACAAATTTTTTTTTCTGAATTATACGTACTAACGTATAGTATATCAACAGTATCAGTACTCACTAGGAACATGAAGATGTCGAAATTTGCTGTGGAAATCAAGCGTCACAATAATCACTTTTGGGTCCACATGGAATTACTCCTTACTATAGGGGCTAAAGCAATACTAAGGAAACTTTTTGGGGGTTACAAATGGCAATGTCCCATGTTATGTCAGTCTTTACCATAAATAGGCAGAGCTTTTCCCACCCAACTACAAGACGACGCTACCATTCTGCTTTACTTTTGTATCAGTCTTTGGGGAGTGGGAATCCAGTGGGCCCGGTGTTACCTTTTCAGGAATCTCTTGATGCTAGGGATGACAACGAGGATTTTTAGGGGGGATCCCTCCCCGTCCCCCAACCCGTTGCCAAAAACTCCCCCCTCCTCCCGTTTTCATTCCCCCCACCCTCTGCCTTGCCTCGCTTTTCCTGCGAATGTCCACGGATGATAATTTGGTTTTTTTTTTTCTAACAGCTTGTATTCAATAGATCAAAACTAAATTCAAAGAATAAAATAAAATATGAAACTGAAAAAAGTGAAAAATTAAAAGTGAAACAAAAAAAGTGTTGAAATAAAACACCAAGAAAATTAAAAAACTCAATTGGATTGTATAGATAACATTTGGGAATACTTATAGAATACGTAATATGTTTGTGCTAAATATCAATTAGGAATTTGGATAGAAATGAAATAAAGATTATATTTAGTTGTCAAATATTTTAAATTTATTATTATTAGATTATATAATATAATATATTTATTTATATTAATAAATTGAAACGGAGAACGGGGCGGGAGTTGATCCCCGTCCCCTCACCCCATTTAAAATGGGAGAGAAAAATTTTCTCTCGTTCACGCCCCATTACTCCCCTGCAGGGGCATTTGCCCCTGTTGTCATCCCTAATGCTAACCTTATAAAAGTGATGGGTTGGGGTTTGGGCCATTGCCTTGCTAAAGGACGTCCAAACTCTCTTGGTCTGGGCCCTTGTTATAAGGCCTGTAAAACATGGTCGACTCCACAACATTCGGAATCTTGAATTTTTTTGTTAACTTTGTCATGGTTCAATCGAAACTCTAAATCTTAAAAATTAAAATGTAAAGTGGGAAGATCTGAGAGTTAAACTAATAATTTCATGGTCAACTAGCTAATACTATCACTATCAACTTTTTTTTTTCATTTTTTTTAGCAGGAGAGAAGCGGGAAGGGGACAGAGATTTGAATCTAGAATCTCCGATCCTTAGCCACTAGACCAAAATCTCATCGATAACGTCACAACCAGTCTTTTTTTTTTTTTATTACTACATAAAACAAACAGATGAGGGAATGATGTTTCAAAAGTCACATGTCAGAAAATTTTGAGAATGCAATCTAGTTCAGGAATTTGATTGTGATTGGTATTGGTTGCAAAATAGGGGGCTTTTTTTTTGAGGGATAAAAAAATTAGGGGGCAAAATTTGGGCCAATAAGATGAGGATTGGAGCCCAAATCATTAGAAGGGCCGAGAGGTGAGTTATAATTTATATAGATAGAGGAGGTCCTATAGTTGGGCTTTGCAAAACCGATTGACAGAGGAAATAGCTACCATCATCGTCCTAAGACAAGAGGGGTGTTGCCAAACGTGAGATTTGTCATCGAAGAAGAAGCCAGGATCGTGAAGAGATCCATTGAAATCAACTCGAAGATGAAGAACTCAAGTTAGAGGTTAACATAGCATAGAATTTAATACTAAGATGAACAACAGAAATCAGCAGCAATTGCAATCTCAAACTCGAAGATGGGCTTTGGGAGGAGCGTTTGTGCTGCTACTACCGAATTTGTTTCCCGGCCTCCTCACTCCGCTGGGCCGTGCTTATCCCTCCCTCTTCTCTGTAATGTCCCTGTCTTTTTCTTTCTTTTGGTGGTCATTTTTTATTGCATTTGGAAGCTTTTTTTTTTTTCCTTTGAATTTGATCTCCTGAAGAGTTAGTTGTACGATGGTTTTTTTTTTTCCTTTTAGTTTCTGGGATTGTTGAAGTTTGGATTTTGTTTGGCGGGGGTTTTTCCTTTCATAATTTGCTGATATAGTCGAGATAAGTGCATTTTTCTGTTGTTTGGACTAGTTGTAATTTTTCGTTTGGAGAGTTTTCTTGGGGATGCCAGGAAATTGAGAAGACTGTAGTTTGGTGGTTTATATTATGATGAACTGAGTTTATACAGCCCTGCTGTCTGGATAAATTTGATTGCTACCTTTTCCCTCTGAGCCTAATGCAGATTTTATTTTCGTTTAGCTATAAATCATACGATGATTGGCTATTTGACGAGCTTAAGAGGCTTGGAATGCTCAAACTTTTGTTGCAACTTTCTACTTGCAAATCAGAGCAACTACTCTTTGCTTTATGATGTTTTATGTCACACAGAGGTATCTTTGCAATTTTAGGAATGGAATGCTCCGAGACCTATGCATTTGGAATTGATGAATGGGGCTTTACAACAACAAACAGTGAGTAGGTGCTAAGTTTATAGCTTTGGTCCAGAAATGATCTTTGGAACTTGGAATTAGTAGTTCTTTTGATCTGTTTTATCGTTCAACTTTCAGTCTGGTGAACAAGAATCAGAACTCTGGTCTCCCTTGCCCGACCAAGGATGGAAACGTTGTGCTGACTCACATGCTAAATCTTGTGAGTCCTTTCAGTTTGCTAATTGTACCTTGTCACCTTGTTGATGTTTCGCCAATTTGGCTCATAAACTTTCTTGGAGAAATGTGGCCCAGTTTCTTTGTCTTCTGATGGTCCAATACAAAACTGTATTTGCTTTTGTAGCTTTGCCCAAAAAGTCCCAGGGCTACATTCAAGTGTTTCTTGATGGAGGACTGAATCAGCAGCGAATGGGGGTAAGGTGGCTTCAGTTGTAGCTTCTGTTGTGTATGATATCTTGAGTTATCTGTGAATTGCTTAAAAGAATTCTTATAATGATATCAATATGTAATGTCTTTTAATACTTACTTAATTTCCCATTTGTCCCTTTTGAAGATTTGTGATGCCGTAGCTGTTGCTAAAATTTTAAATGCTACACTTGTGCTTCCACACTTTGAAGTGAATCCTGTTTGGCAAGATTCAAGGTACTGTATGCTCAAGATTATGCGTATTGGTTCCTAAACATAAACAGACACTTCTGACCTGAAATCTCATTTTCTGAAGTTCATTTACAGATATTTTTGATGCTGACCACTTTATTGATGCCCTGAAAAATGAAGTCTCTGTAGTTAAAGATCTGCCAAGTCAATATTCTTGGAGTACACGAGAGTATTATGCCACGGGCATAAGAGCCACTAGAATCAAAACAGCACCTATGCATGCACCTGCCACTTGGTATCTGGAAAATGTTTTGCCTGTAATGCAGAGGTTTGTGGAAATTAGAGCCCTGCATGCTTGGTGTTATTAGAGTGGTGGCCAAGACGTCACATTTAAGGCTGGTTAAATGCTTATGCTTATCTCTGTTGTGGAATATATGTCACTACTGTTTCTTTTTTTCTTTTAACAGTTGCTGTACAATCCTATTACCATTTAATTCTAAACACTAGGTATCTGCTAAAAAGAATCATTGTTTACAAGATATTGATTGACTCAAAACCATTTCAAAGGAAAGAACCAGTATCCCAATTCTTAGCAAGGCTTCTTTTTAAGGCATCAGTTTACTCATGGAAATCCTGGATCATTAAACTCTGTTCACCTGATGTGGATGCTGAATTGAAGATAATAACTTAAATTCTGTTCTCAGTTCTGATGACTTCTGGGCTTCTATTTCTTTGAATTGACTTCAATAAGGAAAACATGATGGTTGTTTGGGGATTTTCCAATAATTTAGATCAGGTGAATCGAAAGCTGTTGATGTTGCTGTTTTTGGTCCTTGTTATATGGTTCCAATGAAAATTAGTGCTTCCTCATCCACGTAATTTATGTCAATGTTATAGGAGCATAAATATTGTTTATAGACTGAATCATAAAGATCCCAATCTTTCACTTCTAAGGTTTCACCTATGAGGCGTGTTCTTTCTATCATCATGTCATTGGATATTGTTCTAGAAAATATCTATGCCATCTGGAAGTAAATTTTGGCAATCATAGATGGATCCAGGGAGGGTGGGGCCCCACAGTTTCCTAGAAAAGAACAATTTCTTTCTCTTTAGAAATGGAAAATTTTCAAAATGTGTCCTATAGAAGTTTAAGATTTTCCTGTCAACATATATTTTCTGCATCTGGCTATGCTGGTACTTGCTCTTCTTCACAACATGTCCAGTGTAGAGTAGCCTTCCTTGATTAAATTTTCCTACAAAATTATTGGTTTGATTCGTCCCTTGATTGCTTGTTTAGTTACGGGATTGCAGCTATTGCCCCATTTTCTCACCGATTGGCCTTTGACAACCTGCCTTCTGAGATCCAGCAGCTTCGCTGTAAGGTTAATTTTGAGGCTTTGGTTTTTGTTCCCCATATCCGGATGTTAGCAGAGACCCTCATCAATCGCCTGCGGTATGCACCAAGTGGTGACAGGGCAGTAGGCGTCTCTAACTGGGAGGAAAGATTAGATGATAAGCGAAGAGCTGGAAAGTATGTTGTGTTACACCTGCGGTTTGACAAAGTATGAACCTTTCTGCTTTAAGCCTCTGATAAAGAAATGAGAGAATGCATTGCATGTTCATGTGCATATGGCGTTTTTGGGGGGGAGAGGTGTATAGCTAAGATAAGCTCAGTCATTGGTTTAGCATTGTGTGTGGCTTACCAACTATAAGTAAATATGGATTACATTGTCTTGTGTTGTAATAGTTCCACATATGAAATCTGCTACTGAGAAGTTTTTCCAGATAGTTCCATGGTGCAATTCTCCATTTGATTACCTTCTCAGCAACTATTATCTAAAACACATTTCGTTGAAGTTTGAATGCCACATGGCTAGGCTGGATTTTAGAATTGAGGTAGCATTTGTGTCGCTATTGCTCATCATGTCGGTATCTGTTGTGGACAGGATATGGCTGCTCACTCGGCTTGTGACTTTGGTGGGGGTAAAGCTGAGAAATTGGCACTTGGAAAATACCGGCAGGTGCTTTGGCAGGGAAGGGTACTCAATTCTCAGTTCACTGATGAAGAACTACGAATTCAAGGGCGTTGCCCTCTGACTCCGGAAGAAATTGGGCTTCTGCTGGCTGCTCTGGGCTTCAATAACAGTACCACACTGTATCTGGCATCCCACAAGGTTGATTGTGGAGATTGGAACTTAAGTCATTCTCCACTGTACTCCAAAATGTGAGGCTTCTTGTTTCGAGAAACAAGTTTCTGATGATTCTTTTTTCTTGTGCCATACAGGTTTATGGTGGTGAAGCTAGGATCTCAACTCTGAAAAAGCTGTTCCCTTATATGGAGGATAAAAAAAGCCTTTCTTCTGCCGAGGAACGGGCTAAGGTGGACGGAAAATCTTCTTTATTGGCTGCTGTGGACTATTATGTGGGCATGCAAAGTGACATTTTTGTTTCTGCTTCACCAGGAAACATGCATAATGCACTGGTAAGACTTGGTAAATTAGGTTAATTACTTGAATCTGTGTTCTGTTATGATGAATTGGATTGCTGATGCAACAAGAATGATGCTTGAGTTGGAATCTCTGGAATCCTCAGGTAGGACACCGAACTTACAACAACTTGAAGACCATTAGACCGAACATGGTGCTCTTGGGCAAGCTCTTCCTAAATAAAACCTTGGAATGGTCAGATTTCCAGCAAGCAGTTAAGAATGGGCACAAGAATAGACAAGGGCAACTCAGGTTAAGAAAAGAAAAGCAATCCATCTACACCTATCCTATTCCTGATTGCATGTGTCAAGCATAGTTGATTCTGATCCAAACACAAAACCTTGTTTGGCCCTCTTTCTTCATACTATAATCCAGGCCGGTAGTGGCTAAACATTGATAATGGTAAGTGGAACTCTTTCATCGCTGTCTATGACTTGTAAGAGAAAGCAGAAGACTACTTGGACTTCACCCTTACCGCGATGTGCTGTTTGCCTGCTGATTTAAGAAGTGTGAGTACTCTTCTTGGCTCTGGATTTTACCAGTGCTAATAAGCCAATTAGTCAAGTGCATATTCAGTTCTTCATCGGTAGTTGCTGTCGGTGATCTAATATTTTTGCCTTTCCCACCACGACAGTCTTGGCCTCCTCTGCGTGGAATGGGACTGCCATCCACATGAAAATTGAAGCTTTTCTTGGAGAATGTAGAAGTTTTGGTTATCATTTCTGTTTGCGTAATTTATGCTTAAGTAATCCAAGTGAGGTGCATGTAAATCATTACTATGATTCTATGAAGTGCGTGTATGACTAGGTCTGAAATCAGAAGGTTTTATTGTGATCAATTCTATTAGTAGCATAATAAAATATGTGGTATGTACCATCGAATTTCCAGCTCCGTCGCTTGATTTGACACACTGACGTTAACTTGAAAGTTACAGCTCTCAAAACGACTTAATCTAGTCATTGACTCACTTGTGTCTGGATTGTAATTATTTGGTTAAAAATTATATATTTACATCACAAACATATTTTTGCACCAATAAGTGAAAGTAATACATAATTATTTCAAATATATATTTCAAATAATCTCTTATCAAAACAAATCGGAGTATTTTTATAATTTAATATTTTATTAGGGTACTACCATTACTACCAATCTATCCTCCTTTCCCCTTTTCTTCATCTTCCCCCGGCCCGGCCATCCCCTCTCCCTCCCTCTACCCCAAACCCCCTCCCCCCTGGCCCTTTGGTCGCGACCTTTCTGGTCATGGGCAGAGGGGAGGGTGGTTTGGGGAGGGGCAGGACGGGGAGGAGAAGGAGAGGAAGAGGGAGAGAGAGGAGAAAGGAGGCGGATGAGCGATGGAGGAAGGGGGTGGTGGCAAGTAGAAAAGAGATAGAGGTGGTAGATTATTTTTTATTTATTTATTTATATTTTTGATTAGTCTATTTGAGATTTGTATAGATTAGATGCTTTTACAATTATATTATGGCAACATTATATTTGAAAATTTTATTTTTTAAAAAAGCTCAATCCTCATAGATCCACAATTTTAACTACTTTTTTTCACATCATAAAATATGCAGCTAAAAGTATTGTTCCAAATAATCTCATATCCAAACATATCAAATTTGTTATCCAATTTACTTGATTTTGTACTGCCGTATGGATTGGCTATCCTGATTAGAGGATTCCGCTTGCTGATGGAAAAAGTTATCTTATGCAATCAAGAGTAAAACCACCTTTTATCTCTTGGGGCTTTCAATACAAACGGTCTTGCAAATTCTGACCCACAATAGATTCCTTCTGATATAAGTTCAAAGAAAAAAAAAAACTCTTTAACATACTCGCATAAACTTCTAAATTCAATGAATTTTGAATTTCTGAGTTCAATACATTCCCATTTACAGGTGTTATGAAATTCATAACAGTGCAAAACGCAGCTCCAAAAAACACGCTTTATGCATTCTGCACTTTGTTAAAAGATATGCCAGTACTAGACACAGATCACTTTTCTTTTTCCTGCAAATCACGCGGTCCTCCATTTGGAATTTCGCCAATTTCATCCTGCTTATCTTTGCCTACAGTAGCCAACCCATTTCCATTCCAGCAGGCAGCTACGTCCTTGACCTCTGATTGAGTTGGGGCTGGTACCATATCTTCCTCAATTGGAAGTCTCATTTTCGAGCCTTCTAAAGCAACGCCAAGAACAATATTATCTTCCAATGTAGTCTTTGAAGCTGACGCTGATGGTATATGCCTTTCAACATCTGGCATTGCCTGTGAAGTGCTAGAAGCTACAGCTTTGCCATCATGGCCAAATTCTTGGACAGATGGACGCTGTATTTCAGGTACCTTTCCTCCAGTATTCAGACTTGTTGCAACAGCTGAAGCCTCTTCAGATACAGCTCTATCAGCTACCTGCTTCACGGAATTTCTTTGGCCTGGATCAATGGAACCCTTATGTGGCAAGGCATCAGAAGTTGAAGTTCTCTCAACTGTTGCCTTTTGATTGTTGTCAGATATCAGTTCTGTGGAGCCCTCATCATTGACTTTGTCATCATCAACAATTGATGTTGGTCCAACTTTAGCATCCACCTTAGTCTCAGATGTTGAGGTTGCTTCAACCTTCTCATCTTTTTCTTCATTAGGTTGTTCTGTACGACCTGTTGTCCTGATTTTATTGTCATTATTAACTTTATAAGAAGGATCAACCAGCAGGAAAGGACGATTAGATGCCGCTCTAGTACGACGGAAAATGGTCTCAGAAAATGGAATGGTTTCCACATCAGTTTCACCATATACTTTCTGCACTGTGCGTATGGGGGTGGCAAGCCGAGCTCGATGGTGACTGATCACTCTAAGGAGATCTTGCAAGATAGACTCCTATATTGAGGGAATTACACTGATTAAAAGGGGCTATATCTTCGAGCCATTGTACATGCTATAAAAATGTATTGAGACAATAAAGATAAATGACAAGATGAACTCTGAGTGCATTAATAGGTAAACAACAACTTGTTGATTGAAAAAAAAAAATCTAGAAACTCGAGGAGAGGTACTCAAGACTTGAACCGGTACGTCACGGTTACCTACCGGTGAGCTAGGTCTTAGGGAATGCAGACCTCTCCTGAATGTTTAACACTAAAAGCATGAAACTAGTAAATGCAGCTCAGAACTACTCGCAGAAGCTGCAGCTTCCAGCAGACCTTAATGACGACAAGGGCAGCAACAAAGGCAACACAGAAGATAAATAGAATCCATACTACTAAAAAAACCTAATTAAGCATCTGAAATCCCATTTGCATGTACCATCTAGCTAATCTGATTTACTATTAAGTGTTGCTTACCTTTACACATAGGTACTCTTCAAAACGTGAGGTCTTCACAAAGCAAGAGACCATAATCTGTTATATGATACAGGCCAACAAAAAGTTATTGCACTCTTAACAATAGCTACAAGCCATAAAGCTAGATGATAAAAACAATCTAAGGCAAAAAGAATGACAAATTTTTATATCTGGCAACCAAAGCAGAGGAAAGAGTCAGCAAACAGCTTCATATTGGCCTATTCAGCTAATTTGGTGAATATAATCAGTATTTGTAGCTAATAACAACTGAAGATTAGATGCCCCAGTGTCCTTCTGCATAGATCAACGCATTTTTGTATTTGAATGTAACCTTTCAGCTATGTAAGCTCATTTCATACAAGAACAAACAAAAACTCTTCCACAAATCATCTCTTCTCATCAGATAAAGTAGTAGGACTACTTCACATAAAAACGAGCCAATGATAACAGTTATGAAATGAAAAACTCACCATGAGTGCCTGATTCTCTGTATCTATATAATCTAGAAATACTCGCCTATGCAACTTCTGCTGCTCTATTTGAGGATTTTTAGCCAAAACCTTGCGCATATCAGACACAATATTCTGTTTAAAACAAAAGGTATAAGTGGCGTGAAAATATAGGAACAATGCCAACATCATAGCATTTATAAGAAGGAATATCAAATCTTACATTGATCTTATTGACATCCAAATGACTTATGGCGAGGCTGGATTTAATTCGCCAATGAGTCTTCTGGCTAAGATTCCTCACTACATTCATTGTAAACTTGTGACTTGGAATGTGAACTGCTTCACGGTCATCACCTCTTATAACTGTTGGTGACCACCATCCCACATGCTGAACAACAAATTAAATACATTTTAGATTCTCCAGACAGTATTTCAACACTAAGTCACATGTTCATACAGTATTTAATGATCCAGTTAACTCTGCAAGGAGTTTAAGATTTATATGCAGAACTTTGTCACCACAAATATCATAAAGATTTTAGGACAATGCAGACAAACCTCAACTGTACCAGAAACTTCATAGCCATCAATCTTTGTCTGAATCCAATCGTTGAGAACAAATGGCCGTGTTGCATGGATCATTACACTTGAAAGGAAATTTGTGAGAATCTGAAGAAAATGGAAGAGAACTATTTAGCCTTAGAAGGAAAGGGAAGCTAAGACAGATGCGGGGAAAGGTATTTACAGTAATTACTTGCACTAATTGCTACAAAAGATACAGGGAGGAAGGAGAACGATTTACCTCACGACCAGCAAGGGTTAATAATACTGTCCCAAGACCCCCAGCAGTTAGCCACTTCTGGGTTGAAAAACCAAGCAATTCCATGAATAATGAAACAGCAGCAACCCATACTGCAGTATATACAGCTTTTCCAGCAAACTCAAAGCCCATCTAAAGGTGCAAATCATCACGAAGTTAGATTATTTACAATACCATTGGCAAACTGACAGATCCATATGACCAAAACCAACCAAATAAACAAAATGCTAGACCTATTTTACAGTCTATCTAAACACATGGATGGAATTCTCAACGAATTAGGATGCATGTTATCCGTAAGAACCTCTAAACAGTATCACGAATACGTGACAGATGTAAACTAAACACCTACCTGTAGGTAGTGTTTGTAGTGCAAAACACGAAATCTTTAGTTAACTCAGAACCAAAAGGCAATACCATAATAAGCAACAGAGAATGTGCATGCATGACAAGGCAGAAAGACTAGCATCTTAATTACCCATTAGTCATTAATGACTGGCAACATAATGGCCTCTTGCATCAATTAATGGGCCTTTTCTACAAGTGGTTTTAGGTTCACATTAATTTCTAGTATGCAGAACATTTGAACGGTTGCACATGTAATGAGAGAATGTAAATCTGTTGCATAGATCTAAAAGTAATCAAAACGTACTGTTCTTGCATCACTAGATTCTTTTGTTTCGACAAAGAACTTCTGAGTCTGATGAATCAAGCTGTCCAAAAAAAAAAAAAAACCAAGATTAGATATCATACTCTAGAATCTATACTAACTCCAACAGAAAGGGCATGACAAGAGAAGCAACAGACTGCAGACAAGGTCCAATTACGGCAAGCACATTTACCCGCTCACATCCATGCGTACAAGTATGTTTGTATCTAAGGGGCACAAAGAAAGGGGAGGGAGGGAGGGAGGGTGGGGAAGAGAGAGAGAGAGTTGCACAGCAGCATAAAGTTGTACAAACAATTAAATGGAAAGCAGAGACTCGTCCTAAGAAGATTGTTGCCACAGCAAAACAACTTATATTTTCAAGGAGGGGCAAACAACATACAGTTACAAGATCATATCTTATGATATAAAGAGGGGGGAGGGGGAAGGGGAGAGAGAGAGAGAGAGCTATGCCTTTAACATCAGCAAAACAACCAACTCCAGTAGAAATAAAACAAATTAAACAACCAATAATGCGAACTTTGAGTTTTCTAAGAGAAATCAATCGTAGAATGACCCTATCCTTTTACTTTAACAGAAAAGAAAACAAAGATAGTAA